GACAGTTTGATGTGTGATCAAATCCATGCCATTTTTAAATTGGCGAATACTATCTTTAAGGAAGTGTGAGAATTATTTTTAATGTTCTTCATTAACATGTTATATTTCTATACCAATGTTCACTAATGCTTCCTGTCTTTAACTAGGTTTACTATGGGTATAAACTAAACAATGAATTTTCTCCATATGAATTGTTGGCTGACAATAGAGACACATTCAGTGTGAAACTATAGCTCATCAAGTAAATTTTATATTTTAACTTACAGATGGTTGAGAAGCAAAATAATGTAGGCAATTTCTAGCTGGATAAAGTAGGGACAATAAAACACAGTGAAGAAAATAACAAATGTGACTATTTAACATTTATAAATCCTGTGCAATATTACACATACAATGACAAGGTAAACAACAAGGGGAAGGGGGGCATTTGCCAGAAATTAAATTGTTAGTATATACAAATTCACAAGAAAAATGCTATCAAGATTTCATATCTTTCTATTCTACCACTAGCACCAGCTGCTGCTCAAACCTATTCCTACAATGGTGACCCTATAATGTCAAGAGCACTATAGGGTTTTCAATGCCAAATTTTTCAGAAATCGATTGAGGTTCTTCTTTCTGAGGTACGTCTAAGTCAGCAGTTCTCAACTTGTGGGTCGTGACCACTTTGGGGGTCGAATGATCCTTTCACAGGGGTCAACTTATTCATAATAGTAAAATTACAGTTATGAAGTAACACTGAAAATAATGTTATGGTTAGGGGGTCAGCACAACATGTGGAACTGTGTTAAATGGTTGCAGCATTGGGAAGGTTGAAAACTACTGCTCTAGGTGGACTCAAACTCCAACCTTTTGATTAGTGGCTAAGCAAGCGAACAATTTATAGCACCCAATCACTAAACCCATCAGCCATTCTGTGAGAGAAAAATGAGTCAGTTTGTGTCCATAAATATTTACACCCTTGGAAACTTTATGGAACAGTTCTACTCTGTCCAGTGGAGTCACTATGAGTCAGAATCAGCTCAATGGCAATGGGGCAGTGGGTGCTAGCTCCTCTCCTCCAAAATAAAATAATTCCAATGTTCTTTATGAAACATAAAACGCAAATGCTTCCTATATAAGAAACTTAAAACCAAACCCAGTGCCATGAAGTTGAGTCTGATTCATAGCAACCTATAATAATTAGATGATTTTATGTCAACTTGAAGATTTATGAAAGTATAGGGGTGGAATACAACCTGTCAATCAGGCCACAGACTGATGATGCCCCCTTGGGGATATGGCCTTTTTATAATTAAGGAAACTAGGAACCTCCATCTCTCTTCTGGTCCACTTTCCTACTTGCTGGAATGCTGTGGCCACCAGACACAAGTGCCCTGCCATGTTCCCACCAACTGTGGATCCACTAGCTTGTGATCTTCTGCTTTCCAGTTCATCTTTTACAGCACCAGCATATAGCTATGTGTGTCCTAAGTGGGGCTTATAGACTAGCATCAGACTTAGGGACAAGAGTTACACTGGGTTAGATGTCCTCTTGATATATAATTACTTCTTGATAGAAAGTTCTTGCTTATACATAGATGAAAGCCAATGGAATTTCTTCTCTAGAAAATCTGGCCTAACACACAAGCCTGAAGAGAGTTTCTGACATTACAAATATTTACAGGAATGGATAGCCTCATCTTTCTCACAAGGAGCAGACAGTAGGATTGAATCACGAGTCATAAGATTAGCAGCTCAACAACTAACCAACAGAGCCACCAAGGGTCCTTTTGAGAGAATTTTATCACATAATGGTTTCTCTTTTTTTTAGTTTTTATTTTATTGGAGGCTCTTACAGATCTTATCATAATCCACACTTATATCCATTGTGTCAAACACATCTGTACATATGTTGTCATCCTTTTCAAAACATTTTCTTTCTACTTGAGCCCTTGGTGTCAGCTCATTTTTTCCCTCATTCCCCCTTGGTAATTCATGATTTTTTTTCCCCATGTCTTACACCAACCACAGTCTCCTTTCACTCACTTTTCTGCTGTCCATGCCAGGGGCCATACGATGATTATTGTGATTGGTTCGCCCTTACCCACCCAGTATCACTACTCCCCTTATTGGTCTTGAGGGGTTTATCTGTTCAGGATTCCCTGTATTGTAAGCTCTTATCTGTACCAGTATACATGTTCTGGTCTAGCCAGATTTGTAAAATAGAATTGAGTCATGGTAGTGTGTACATGGGGGTGGGTGGGTGGAGAGCATCACATAACTAGAGGAAGGGGCTGGCCCCAATCCCAACAATGTGGACACCTGCCCCTCTCCCCAGAAGAATTTCTTTCAGAGGCCAGCACTGAATTTGCAGCTACGGGAGAGAGACATGTCTGATCAGAGCACATGGGAGCAGGTGAAGGGGGAGGAGGAGAGAGTGGAGGACATCCTGGCCCACCAGGCCTTGAGGACAATGTTCCCGCTCAGAGCAGCCAGTCCACAGAGAGGACCGCATGGCCGGCCCCACTATGAAACATGATATGCCTCACTGACCCATAGCCCTAGAGAGGACAACACTGGAGACACAGTGTGGGAATTGCGCTCAATCTGATCACACCACACCGAGGCAAAACACTAAGTGGGTGCAACAGAACAGCAAGGGAATGGAGCAGCGAGGTCTCCAGGAATGCCAAAGGTGGACTTTGGGGCCAGGGCTTAGTGCCCTAACAGACTGGACTGGAAAACACTCCTAAAGGCCAACAAACAGTCCTTGAACTAACTACACATTTTTCTTTATTTTTGTATATTGTTTTCTTTTTTTTGTCATGGGTTTATTTTTGTTGTTGTTATTTTGTTTTATATTGTTCCTCGGTTTTGCTCTCTTATTTTTGTGCATGTTATTATCTCCGCAGGTCTGTCTAAATAAGATAGGATAGATGAATAATCTGGAGGAGAAAACAACGGACCGAGAGTTCCCAGGGGACATGGGAGAGGGGGAGGTGGGGAGAAAGGTAGTGGTGTTAACAAACCCAGGGACAAGGGAACAACAAGTGATCCAAATCGGTGGTGATGAGGGTGTAGGAGGTCTGGTAGGGCATGATCAAGGGGAATGTAACAAAGAGGAAGTGCTGAAATCCTGGTGGGGACTGAGCATGATAGTAGGACAGGAGGAGAATCAAGGGAAATAGAGGAGAGAGCTGGGAGGCAAAGGGCATTTATAGAGGTCTAGAGAAAGACATGTACATATGCAAATATATTTATATGAGGATGGGGAAATAGATCTATGAGCCTATATTTATAGGTTTAGTATTAAGGTAGCAGAAGGACATTGGGCTCCACTCAAGTACTCTCTCAATGCAAGAATACTTTCTTCTATTAAACTGGCATTCTATGATGCTCACCTTCCCGACACAATGGCTGAAGACAAAGCAGGTGAATAAGCAAATGTGGTGAAGAAAGCTGATAGTGCCCGGCTATCAAAAGATATAGCATCTGGGATCTTAAAGGCTTGAAGGTAAACAAGCAGCCATCTAGCTCAGAAGCAACAAAGCCCACATGGAAGAAGCACACCAGCCTGTGTGATCATGAGGTGCTGAAGGGATCAGTTTTCAGGCATCAAAGAACAAAAAATCTTATCACTGTGTGCTCACCTCCCAGATACGATCGCTGAAGACAAAGTGGGTAAATAAGCAAATGTGGTGAAGAAAGCTGATGGTGCCCGGCTATCAAAAGATATAGCATCTGGGATCTTAAAGGCTTGAAGGTAAACAAGCGTCCATCTAGCTCAGAAGCAACAAAGCCCACATGGAAGAAGCACACCAGCCTGTGCGATCATGAGGTGTCCAAGAGATCAGGTATCAGGCATCATCAGAAAAAATGTATCATTGTGAATGAGGGGGGCAGTGCGGAGTAGAGACTCAAAGCCCACATGTAGGCCACTGAACATCCCCTTACAGAAGGGTCTCAGGGAGGAGACAAGCCAGTCAGGGTGCAATGTAGCAATGATGAAATATAGAACTTTCCTCTAGTTCCTAAATGCTTCCTTCCCCCTCTTCCCCCTCACCATCATGATCACAATTCTACCTTACAAATCTAGATAGACCAGAGGATGTACACTGGTACAGATAGGGACTAGAAACACAGGGAATCCAGGGAGGATGATCCCTTCAGGACCAGCGGTGTGAATGGCGATACTGGGACGGTGGAGGGAGGGTGGGTTGGAAAGGGGGAACTTCCCGATTAGAAGGTTCTACATATAATCTCTTCCTTGGGGGAATGACAATAGAAAAGAGGGTGAAGGGAGACATCAAACAGTGCAATATATGACAAAATAATAATTTATAAATTATCAAGGGTTCATGAGGGAGGGGATAGTGGGGATAGAAGATAAAAAATGAGGAGCTGATGTCAGGGGCTTAGGTGGAGAGCAAATGTTTTGAGAATGATGAGGGCAATGAATGTACAAATGTGCTTTACACAATTGATGCATGTATGGATTGTGATGAGTTGTATGAGCCCCTAATAAAATGATTGGAAAAAAAAGATTATTTTCGTTGCTATTTCATAACTAATTTTGCTACTGTTATGAATCGTACATATCTGATAGGCAGGATGTATTTTCATTGTTACAAATTGAACATAATGAAAGCATAGTGATTAATCACAAAAACAATATGTAATTATATATTGTGAAATATTGATTTCTAATGACAAAAAATGAAATTTTGTCTTGGGGAAAAAAAAAAGAACTAGAGGAAGGTTGTGTGTTTCATCAGTGCTTTATTGCACCCTGCCTGGCTTGTCTCTTCCTTGTGGGCCCTTCTGACAGGGTGTGTCCAATTGACTACTGTTGGGCTTTGGGTCTCCACTCTTTCTTTCTTTTTTTCACTGCAGAAGAAAAAATTATGAAAAGGCACCTTGAATTCAAAATAAGAAAGCTATCTCCATTTTAAATAAGGATCAAACGCATTGTCCTAATCAAAATTTAAAGCAAATAATAAATTTTTAAGAAAATTCACCTTTTGGTGTTTCTTCATTAAGTGCCAGAAATATTGGTACATTTGGATTCCACATGCCAGTGATAACATAGGCTCTCCCATCATAGCTCTTTCCCATAGATTCCTAGAAAAGTTCAAACAAAAACTGCTGAGAATATATATACAAAGGAAATCAGCCTTTTAAATTATAGGTATAATCGACTTTAAATACTCCAATGCATTAAAATTTGGATCTATACACAATCAAATGAGATTTTCATAATAATTTTTCCATAAAAGAGCATTTTTTTCAATATTCAATTCTTGCACAATTTTCTTCAAATACAGTTTCTGTTACAGATAGAAACACCTCTTGGATAAAATGAAGCACATCCATAGATGCTGAATCACAAAAACATAATATTGTCAGAACATTCTATTTGATTTTATGATAGTTGTCAAAATCGCATATAACATCTAAGGATATACTTAGTTTCTATTAGAAATATATATAAAGACAACTAAACTGAATGAATAGCTACTTACAGGGATAAGTAAGTTAGTTTTGCGGTTTTTTCTAATGTTTCAATTATAGAACATTTCTTTAAATATTAATTTATATTGCTGCAATTATATTTAAAGTTAGTGCTTTTCCTATTATTATACATTAGATATTTGATTGACATTTGATCCTATATTCCAGAGATCAAATACACTGCCTAACGTGACCAAGGCCACTTGTAAAGGAAACCCACTGGGCTCTCCCACTCATATATATATATACACACACACACACACACACACTCATATATAGATTCACATTTCTCTCCCACTTTCACACATATACCTATACCTACTACCCATTTAGAACAGGAATGGACCCATCCATTCCTAGACCAGAGCTTGTGTTATGCTTGAGACCCAAAAGATGAGTTAGGCCAATGGAGTTCTCTCCTTTATTGAAGAAATACCAAAGAGGGTGGATGTTGAAGTTAAAATATTTGATGAAGACTCAAGCCATATCACATATAAAAAGAACCTGTAAAATCAAAAAAAAATTTTAACTACAAAGAGGAGAATGACATATAAAGAACAGAGACTATTAGGAGATTGCTAACTGATAAAACAGAAATAAAGGAAACTTTTTTTTTATCCTTAAAACCAATAAACAGTGCAGATAACACTCCCCACCTCCAAAACTAGGATGCAGGGAGGGGATGCAGAAAGAACAGAAACATCAAGGACAGAAAGGGAGGCAGACCTCCCCCGAGAAGAATTTATTTCAAAGGATGGCACTGAATCTGCAGCTTCAGGAGAGGGATATATCTGACCAGAGCACACAGGAGCAGATGACGGGGAAGGAGGAGAGACTGGAGCACATCCTGGCCCACCAGGCCTTGAGGACGATGACCCCAATTAGAGCA